CTTACAGGTTGCCCTCAAAAAACACATCGCCTACCTGTGTCCATGACAGGAGGCCAGGTCCGGACATCCACGGCCGCCGAGGCTTCTTTGGACCTCAGCAGTTTAGTGATGACCTGCGTGGTCATCACGCACACCGACCGGCTCACCTGCACGATTCAGTGCGCACAGACCTCCCATTATTCACACGATTCATCTGTTCACTTTTTCTTGGGCTGGTTTAATAATAATAATCTTATTATAATGATCACAGTGTATATTTGCACGTCTGTCCTCTAACTCCTCCGAAACATCTGGATGAAACCTGGAATATAAACTGCAGAAAGTGCCAGGATATCAACGTCTATGTAGCTTTTGGAAATCACTTTTATAACACTTAAATTAAACAAATTATGTCCATGTTACAACTATTTTGTTGGCATTAAGTCTACGTTACGACTTTCAAGTTCTGTCTGTCCCACCTGAAATGCACTCCTGGGCTTTTCAAAGTAAAACAACAGCTTTTCCAGAATTTTATGTTTTTAAGGTCGTAAAGTTCTGGAGTGAGAATCTCAGGAATGAATATAGTAAATATTAAAAGTTTATTAAGTTATTGTGACTACGTCATCTAAGAAATCAATATCTTTTATATTTACAGACAGAAAAGTAAATTTGTAGGTAATTCGGCCTTTACTTAAATGAACAATGGTCTGTCTCTTTTATCATTTTAAACCCTCGCCTACGTCCACATGTCAGGTTTTCTTAGGAATTTCTGCATCTGCTAAGAATAAACTGCTGAAGCTGTCAAAATATTCTCCTTAATTTTTAAATTAAGAAAACAATGTTTTGAAGGTTTCTTTTCCTTCACGTAACTGCTGAGAAAACAGGAAGTGAGGTGAAGAGGGGGCGGTGACTTGCACCTACATGATCATTCACGTTTTTCTCAAATACTTTAACCACAGAGTAGTGATTGGAGCCGTCACAGTGTTCGTTTACCTCCACGATCATCTTGACGGTGGGCAGCGTGGTGGCGATGTTTTGCGGGTGAGGCGGCCGCACCGTGATTGGCACACAGCCGGCGTAAAGGCAGCCATAAAACGCCACGATGAGGTCGATTCCTGAGGACGTAGAGATGAGAGAAGAAATAAGAGGGGATGAAATGGAAGAGAAAGGAGGGTTGGAAAAAAGCGAGGGGAGAATTTGGAAAACATAAATAAGTTGCAGGTATTAAGGTGCCGTATACTGAGCGATGGACCCTCGGGGACGTTAATTAAATGCAGCTGTAAGAAAATCTGCTTGTGTCGGGTTGTTTTTCCTGCACGGCTGCGTCTGTCCTACTGTGATGGACGCGACGCGCTGTGTCTCAGAGGGTAATTACACTTCCCGCGCCCTCCTTGTTTTTCCCCGCGGCGCTCTCTTCAATCTAACCGAACTCACTGAACATGTTTGCAGCGTCCTTCATTCCTCATTTTAAAACATCCCAAGTTTGTCCTTGTTAAATGTCAACAATTTAAAGCAGGGGTCCCCAATCCCAGTCCACGAGGGCCGGTGTCCTGCAGGTTTTAGATCTCACCCTGGGTCAACACACCTGAATCACATGATTAGTTCATTAGCAGCCCTCTGGAGAACTGAAGACATGTTGAGAAGGTAATTTATCCCCTTAAATCAGCTGTGATCAGGGACACATCTAAAACCTGCACCGGCCCTCGTGGACTGCGATTGGGGACCCCTGATTTAAAGGATTGTTAAAAAAGTCGCATTTAACCCATTTTAGTACAAATCCATCCATCCTTTCATTTCTTTTGCTTATATAGGGCAGTCACTGAAATTATAATAAGGTTATCCACTCAATTTTAATACTTTAATACATTTGTCAGACTCTGTTTAAAAACTTCTACTTATTTTTTTCAATGCACAACTTTTAGCATCAGATAATTTTACAGAATGAATGCTGGTTACAGCCTGCGTGGTATTATGTGTGTCCTGTAATTGCATTTAAAATAATTTTCATTTATTCATCTGCACACTGTGTTTTTTGAACTTCAGTTAAACAGAAGGGAAGAAAAAATGCATTCAAATGAAAGATGGTTTGATTTTTAAATCAATAGATGCTCATTTAAAATCATTAAAAACAGATTCCAAACGACAATTTCTGTTATAAAGTAAATATTAATAAACATTAACATAAGCACTGGTCTAAATTATTCTTTTTGGCATTTTTGTCTTTTATTAATTCTAATTTTTAATTGTTTTTAATTAAAAAAAAAAAAAAAGGTCCAACCTGCTGTTTTGGACCAATCAGCAATCACAGCAATAAAAAGACAACTGTAGGTCAAAGATTCAAAAACTAAAATGATTATTGTGCAACCTTCAGTTCTCTAAAAAAGTCTGTCTGCATCGATTTGTTCATTTACCTGAGACTCAGCTCATATTGCTCCCGTTATGTAACAATAGCTGAGTCTGTGTGTGTCCATGTAGTCCATTTATATTAATCAGGACACTTTTCCAAGCTTTTTATTTCCTGGTTCAGATCAGCTTTTATTTTGAAAATTTGAGGGATTTCGGTAAATCTATGACATCCTGCAGTGTCACCGCAGAGACACAAGTACAGCAAGCTGACCTGCTGTCAGTGTTTACCTGGAGGGTAGACCAGTGCAACGTGGTCTCCATCCTGCAGGTGGCCCCGTTCAGCCAGCATGGCGGCGATCTTCTCTGCTCTCTTGTGCAGCTGAACACAAGTCAGAGAGCTGGCTATCGTACCCTGGGGGAGGGGACACACACACACACACACACACAGAAGATTGACACATGCAATCAGCAGCGTGCATCAGTAAGTGTCATGTCACATTTTCCGTTGCAGCATCTCAGCGGTGAACAGCTGTAAACAAACCAGCGGATCCTATTGCCATTATGCAAACTAACAGTGGTGAACACCTCCCAGCCCCGATTCCTTTTCTTCAGCCAACACAGAGCAGAAAGAAAGACCTGCATCTTCTTTTCATGTCTGCCTCCCTTTAAAAGCACTGATTCAAACAGCCCAACTGATTCCTGTTAAAGCTCCTTCCCATGTAACACATACATGTCACCTATACTTCAGCTCCTTAAGTAAAAGTTTATTTATTAAGCGCTTTTCATAGACAGGTAGTCACAAAGCGCTGCACACAGAGATTAAAATAAACAGTACGATAAATAGCAAAATGCACAATATACACAATATAGAGCTTAAATGTAAATTAAAATATAAAAAATGTAAAAAGCATTGGTCAACAGTAAAGTTTTTAACTGTTTTTTAAAGGATTCCACAGAGTCAACCAAACGTAGTTGTAAACTGTTCCACAGCCTTGGTGCCACAGACTGAAAGGCTCCGCCCCCTTTCGTCTTCAGACGTGTTCTGGGAGCAACCAACAAACTGAGTCTGTGAGCGGAGACGGCGAGCAGTAGTGTATTTTGTGAGAAGCTTGGTTAAATAATCTGGGGCCATTTAGAGCTCTGTACGTTAAAACAATAATTTTAAAACGAATTCTAAAATCTATCGGGAGCCGATGTAAAGAACATGAAATAGGAGGGATGTGAGCGAGTTAGTAGTCTGGCTGCTGCGTTTTGTATAGCTTGGAGGTGAGAAAGAGATGATTTATCCAAGCTGGTAAACAGGGAGTTACAATAATCTAAACGCGATGACACAAATGCATGGACAAGTTTTTCCAGTTCAGCTAAGGAGACCATATGTCACAGTTTAGAAATATTCGTTAAATGAAAGAAACAGGAACAAGACAGAGATTTTACGTGTGAGTCAAATATTACTCCAAGATTTCAAATATTTGTGTACATTAAGTCCTTTTCTAGATTATTTAGGAGTTCTATATCATAACATATCATTTCATATCACGCTTTAAAGCAAACCTTTGAGGCAAAAATCAGAATAATGTAGATTTAATATTTTAAAGTTTTAAAATATTCTTATTTAAACAAACTATGAAGCTCTGTCTGCCAAGACTGGGAAGGATAAGCCATTTCTGAACACCCCTGCTGACGTTATCATACTATAAGTCAATATCATCTCATACACTGTGTGTGTGTGTGTGTGTGTGTGTGTACTGTGAGGACTCACCCTGGAGTTGAGGAGTGTGTACAGGA